CTTATTTCATCCATGTATCTCTTTATAATAGGCATTGATTGGACATAAAACAGAATAGGCCGTAGAATGAAATATTATATAATACGTTGCGAAAACTTTCTGCCACTACAGGAATCCAAAACTCGTCGAAAATTGTATCGTTGCCTATTCCATGCTTCAATCTGTATTAACATATGCGTTCTCGAATATTTTAGAATTCTTCTGTTCCTATTGTTATATGCTTGTTGTCTGTGTTATTTTTATCGCTATTCTGCAAAAGACTTTACATTTCTATCACTCTCCACTTACATTTGATTTATTCTGCGATTTTTATTTTCGTCAGAGAATACGTTATTACAAATTGTCTTTTTTAGATTAGACTGAAAGATGGTTGATTTTGATGATATAATATTTTTAAAATACGTTATATATTTTCAATATATCTAATAAGTAATTTTGTACAGCATTTAATTTTTTAACATCTAATTCTGACATATTAATTTTTTTTTAAATTTATACATTGGATATTAATTTTTTATATGGGAACCCTATTTAACATTAATTAATTGATGAGTGTCTACGAAATGATACAAGCTTCACATACAAGATAACTTCTTTCTTATCGGTGCCAAGTAATCGGAAATATAATTTCTATTTTGTATAAAATATATCAAAATAAAAATCCAATCGTCCCTTAATTTCTTTAAATTTTTTTTGCTAAAAAGTAAAAGTAAATAGTTTTTTATTTTCTGCAGCTTCATATAACGATTTCATGATTTCACACATTTTAAATTCCAAGATTCCGATAAAATACTATTAAAAATAATCAATCTTGGACAAAAAATTAATTGTTGTGACCATCAAAGAAGCTGAGAGATCCGGAAGTAATTGAAAAGTTTTCGATATTATCAACTATTGATATAAACTTGCAATTGTTTTAACATATATATACTATATGGATTATGGATAATTAAACACTGATGGTAATTATAAAAATACATTAGGTTTAAGTAAAATTAAATATTAGTTACAATATTTCTATAAGATCATCTTTGATAATATTTTCTCGATAATTCAATGTTTAAGGCGATTTTTTTCTTTACAGACAAATTTAAAGAGATCACCTATTCTGCATTCTGTGTTTCTATTCTGTATAAAATAAATGAAAGCCTTTTTTCCATTACGATCTTTAACATCTATCTTTATCAAAAAAAAAACATGCAACTTTTTTACCTGTTTACGTGATAATAGCTTTGATTTTAAATCTTTAGACTCAATCTACTTCAGTTGGCTACAGCTTTATTATAGACATCATGTAAAAGAACACTAAAACTATTCATTCCATTGTGAAATAATTACCGTAACGAAAGATCTTTTTCATTCTTTCCATAACACTTTTAAACCAAAAAACATTATTTTTCTTTCAGAGGTCTTCAAACAAAAGCTTGAGGAGCTGCCTGAGTGTCTTCGTAAAAAAATAAAGAGAACTTTCCACAAATATTTTTACTAACTAATGTATACATATATAATTACTCCAAATATTTTTACTAATCAATGTATACACGCATAATTACTCGTAAACAAGTATAATATCCATTTTGTAAAAGCTTTCGATGCATATTCAGTATATCTTTATCACCTGCATTCCACTTAATGCTATACCTATATACTTAATCGGAAGTACTCAATTCGGACGTAATACACGTCTTGCCGATTGCTGCATCGCGTTGCTGTAGCGACCGCGGCTTGTTTGCCGCGTCGATATGAATTCGAATTTCGAATCGCGACTCGCGGTCCGGTGATCGCGCTAATAAACATTCGCGGTTAGTCCGTTGATCAAACGGGCGCGTTTTTACACTCCACGTTGGACAATCAGATTGCCGTAGCAATGAACGATATCGTGACAAATCACGCGGCCGAGAAGCAATTCAAATTCGACGATTTACGTCCGGCATCTCTGAATGGACATCCGGAGGACGAGTGCGGCATAGAGGAACCTGCTAGGGTCTCCGTCAAGGAGGTATTGCGGCAAGTGCAACGCGAATTGTGCCTGATCAAGTTGTGTTGACCGGATATCTCGGTGATCACGGAGGATCTCTATGCGCGATCACTTCCGAATACCTACCATTGCATTAGCGACAAAAAGTGCTTGCTGCTGTGGTATACGCGGAAAACTTCCGTCGTCAGTTCCATGCGAAGTACGCAAATCGACGACCGTTGTTGTTAGTCTGCGAGAACGAATGTGGTGTACAAGTGGATAAAATTCAATCCTGAAAAAGTTATATCGATTCGCAATTGATAATACATGGCGATATAAATCAATGTAATACCTGGCAAAAAGTTTTCGTCTTTTATGCTTATTACTTCTGCTAATTATGCAAAATTATTATTTCAAATCATTATAGGAATCTAATATAAATTGTACAATATCAGTAAAAAAAAAAAGAATATTATATCGATTAAAATCTTTTATTATATAGAAATCTTTAATTATATAGAAAAGCTGCATATTTTATATTTGTATTCATAGAATTTTGCAACAAAACTTGATTCTTTGTGTTTACAATTTACGAATGTATATGGTTATTATAAATACGTCTAGCAAAACGTAAAATCTGCAGCTATAATTGTGCAAAGGCAGCTATAATAGTATGGTTAGCTAATCTTACGATTGCACCATATCTAACTATGAAATAGTATGATCAGCTGATCTTTTTCATGGTTAGAATATGGAATCATAATAGGACTAAAAATTTGTTTAAAATTGTCGTTAAAGAGCTCATTTATTAGATTTCTAATTCGTGTCAGAATTTATAGCAAAATTTTACGTAAAATTTTGCTGCTCTGTAATAAAAGAAACAATTAAGAATATACGTATTAAATATATATTAAGATGCATGTATATCATTATCGACAACATATGACAGAATCAAGAGCACACG